CCTGCACTCACATGGCTGTATTCTCCTCACACAGGGGAGGCTGGTTCTTGAAGGGTGATGAGTATCTACTGTCAGGAGTAACAGGAGGAATATAGGACAGGACTAGGAAGTCCCCCCATGTATGTTTTAATATAAATTTCTTTGCCTTTAAAGATGGCAGCTAGAATATTATGACAGAATGCTGCTCTATCCTTGGAGTATTCCTAGGAATACTCTAGGATGGTGTTCCTAATCTAGCAGAAACAGATGTGAGCTAATGTTTGCCGATATTTGAAAGGATCATGGAAGCAGAGGAGATAGCATATATTCCTCTCAGAATAACTTTTTAAATCAGTTACTCTGTGTGGTGTCAAAAGCCATGTGAATCCATACTGCATGCTGTAGGAGTGAAATAAATCATTGTTGAATGAACAGACAACAGACATTGCTTCTAACCCAGGCTTTTGAGGTACTAAATTTTTGCAGGAACATGAATCCCACTGTATCATTGGATGACATCCTGGTGTATTAATTATTAAATAATCCAATACATGGCTTTAAAGAAAAGTGTGCCTAAACTGATTCTCCTTCTTCTTAATTGGTTTAAATGCAGTCAGGAAATGGGTTCCCTAAGTGTAATATATCTCTTCTTTAACATGCCTGTGGGTGGGTTACCTGTTAGAATTTTCCCCCTGTGTCCACATCTCACAGTTAAGACCCTTGTTGTCATGGCGCATAGCATGGATGTCCTGTGTTTTTAGCATTCACCTTGCCTTCTACATCTCCCTTGCCTGGCGTTGCTATGCATCAGGATAGTGCACCCAAACATCTTGCTAAGAAGGTATTAGAGTTTACATTAGGTTAGTGAAAGGCTGCAGCAGTTTTAAAAATTAGGCTGAAGAAAGAAATGAAGGATGAACACCAGGCATATCCAGTGAGGCGTGGTGGGTGGGGAAGGAGGCAATCTTCGCCATTTTGTAAAACTGTCTGAGATGCAGTCAAGCATCGGCAAAAGAATCTCACTGGGAAAAGTGCTTATTAGGACAGTGATGGCATTGACCTCCCAAGTTTGGGAACTGAACTCTTCTCCACAGGAAGGGCTCCCAAAACAACATAAGCACTGGTGTGGATCTCTTGAGAAATTGTAACAATGCTGCTTTGCCAGGCAAGAAGCTGTTTTTGCCTACCCTTGGGTAAATCATTTAACCTCTGTGGTTTGGTGTTTGAATCTATAAGGAATACTCATTCTGTTTCCATTCCAGGAGACATGAGAACAGTGAGTGAGCTGTCATTTAAGGGCCTGCAGTGCCTTGGATATAGCTTTCACGTACGGTTATTTGGCTGAGTAGGGGGTGGGATTAAGATTTGTTTGGTTAGAAATCCTAAGTATGAGAGACTCAAACTACACACCAGTGTTGTTCTTATTTCCAAGATGTTGGTGCAGACAGTACCCTGGAGTAGGATTTTATACTCTTTCTTCACTGAAAATAAACTTAGGTAGTGACCCCATAGTGTCCTTGTGCACGGTCTGAGCTGGTCAGAAGCTAGGCGGTCTCCAGCTCCTAAAAGCAAGGGCTTGTCTCTGTCTGAATATGGGAACAGTAACATTTTAATTCTCTGCACAGAGTTTGAGAGTTGTCTCCTTTATTTCCTGTTGACTCAGCTATCTTCTTCCCACATTTTGGGGTTTGTGGTAAATGAAGAATTTGTATTTGGCCTCTGGAAACAAGGCCTTTGAATAAACTGAGAATCATATGGACCCTGTGATCTGCAATTCTCTTTCGCTCATAGATTCACCAATATTAATAAGAATTACATATGCATTTGGCAAAGTGGGCCTTCAGTGATAGGAGAAAGCTTAACTAAATACTGTATATATAAAAACACAGTTTTAAGATTCCTCACTTCCTTGAAATTCTTTCCAAAACAAATCAGCCCTTGTGAAGGACGCACAAAGCCTCGTTTTGTTTCTACAACTTTTCTCTCTTGACGGATACTAGAACTCCACCAAGGGAAGAAATAAAGTGGGAAAGATAAAAATAGAAATTGTCTATGCAAATCCAAGTGCACACTGCAAAAGGATTTCATATACATTTGACCCAATTCATTTAATAACTTTGAAGGATGTTACAAATACTTCTCTAGTTCTCTTTCCTTATTCCTTAGCAGTTACAAAAAAAATTCTTTAAAATTATGTAAATACTTATAATTTTCATTTTATATGTCCTGAATTGAAAGAATTAACTCAATTTTAATCATTTTTAAACCATTTTAACCCACTTTTAGGTGTACAGTTCAGTCATGTGCTAAAATTATCACCATTTAGCTCCAGAATGCCATTTTCTTTCAAACATCAAATTTTAAAGCTAAAATTTAGAAGAATTGTTTTCCCTCCCAGTACAAGACTGGGGATTACTGGATCTCAGTAGAAAATTAGGAGGCTTGTTGGGGGCTGGGTCTAGTTTGGGGTGATTAGAGTTTGGGTCCTGCTGGCAGAAGCCTGTTTTGAGCAGAAGGAAGAGGCAAGCATGTGGACAGACGCAGCCAAGTCTCTATCGAGCAGATGAACAGGATGAGTTAAGTCTGAGAGACAAGCAGACTTAACTTGAGGAGTGGATGAATGGTGAAACCAGTGGCAAACTCTCCAGGAAGACAGAGAACAAGGTACAAGGTGCAGTAGGATGTGGACGTTGCGATATCTCTGATATACTTTGATATCTCGATGATGGAAACTTAAACGGCTTTGTCATGGGCATTGCTGTTCTCATGGGCAGTGGCAGAAGCAACACTTTCAAAACGGCTTCATGGCCAGCAGACAGGGACACTCTAGACCCAGGGGCAGAGATGAGTGGAGTGGGTATCATGTGGTGACCATATCTAACAGCCTGATTTGTGGGCACAAATAAGGCTTCCCTTAGGGATTTCCACGAGTAACTTCCAGATACTTTTTGGAAGGACTAGAAACCTATTATCACAAAGATGAAGCTTTGGGTTAACTAACATTTAGGTTATATTATAGTACTCCAAAAATGTTATATTATTATTTCTAAATTTCTTCTGCCAAATGGCAAATACACTGGTTATTGTCTCAAATGTGAAGCACTATAATGAGACAACTATATTTCAACAAATGTACGTAAAGGTTTATTTGCAAGCCAAAGATATGAAACACTGTATTATTTTAAAGTAGCAGAGATGCTGTGGAATTTCAATTCAGTGAGAACCCACAAAAGGTCACTCATTCAACTGAGAGACATAAACATACTCTGAGATTCAATCATACGTCGGGCTCTGTGGGTAAAATTATGAAGCAGAATCTGTCCACTCAGAGTCACAGATTTGAGAAGGATCTGTGTAAGACAGGAGCTGAGTGTAGGGCCTGAGGAGAGGGAGCCTGGCGAAAACCTCAGCACTGAAGGTCTTGCAGAGGAGGCATCCTTCACGCTCTGGTGCCAGGTCCCCTCTACGCCCTGTCTTCCCAGCTAGATGACCTCCATGCACACGGAGTGGGCGGGAGGACCCAGCCATTACCAGGACTTCCCCCAAACTTAAACAAGGCGTTTGCCCTTGACTGTGGCCGCTCCACGCTACCAGGCTCACTGTACCTCCGCTATCAGGAGCAGTCCTCTTTCAGAGTCCCAGTCCAGAAGGATTATGCACATTCTTGCCGCTCCAGGGCGCCCAAATCTCACCAGCAGATCTCCATTCTTCCTCTGTCCCCCTCCACCCCTACCCTGCTCAGCCTTCCATCCATGCTCCTGTCTTTCTCTCGCTGGCCCTCCACCCCTCTTATCAGGTCCTCTGGGCATCTGCTGTGTTTCCTCAGCTTTGTCTTGTTGCCTTCCCGGGTGACAGGAAACCATCGTACGTGGGCGTCTACCAGTCAATCTCCCTGCTCTGTGCTGATCTCTATCAACTATGTTCTAGTTCTTGATTTTGTTTCCTTGGAACCCACACATCCTCTCGTCTCTCAACAAAGCCTGGCTCTTACAAATGAAAATCTTGGCTTTCAAATCTATTTTCCCTGAAATGAGCTTCAAGAGCCTATTTTGGAGAAGCTCAACACTGACGCCTTTGTTCTTGGCTGGTTACTGCTGCCTTCCCCCTGCAGCAAGGGACGCCCTGGGCTTCCATGGGGGCAGCGGGAACTACCAGCGAGGGGAAGCACTTCCAATAATATTGAACAATATGGTCCTGTTCGAGAAGAATGGCAGGCAGCAGCTGAGGTTGGAAACTGTGAATGCAGAGCAGCGCTGCTCTCACAGTTGTGCGGTTTTCTCTAGCATGGCTCAGAAGGCTGAGCTTCAGCGGATCGTTGCACAGATCCAGGCTGCGGTGTGGAGAGGCATGTTCTTTAAAAAGATACGGGACAGATGAGTTGAGATGATTGAGAAGACAGTGATTGCTGGATAGTGGAAAAAGTAAAGTCAGAAAGGGCCTGGAGGAAATGTCAGGGTCGAGGGGCTAGACATTTTGGTAAATGTGAAGATAAGTTGATTGGAAAGTAACTGAGTGGGAGTAAGTGACATTTTTTGATTTTAGAGATTTAGAAATGAGACAGTTAATGGAAGTTCAACTCAGATGGGGTCATGCCCAAGTGTGCAGAAAAACATCTTGCCAGTCTCCAAGTTAGGTTATAAATACGAGATGTCACCTAAAACCTAGTGCATTATTCCTTGTGCATTCTCATTAGAGTGCCTCTGTAAACTATAAAACTTGCCTTCGGTGGTTGCTGCCAGCAGAAAAAGGCCTACCACAAGCTTCCCAGTCCCCGTCTGGTCTGTGTTCAATCCCCAGTTGAGGAACTAAGATCTCTCGAGCCAAGTGGCACGGCCCAAAATCACCAAAACACAAAACAGAACAAAAGCAGCAACAACAACCTCCTCCCCCCACCCGCAGAAAACCTCGGGAGGGTCTTACCTGCCACATCTTCCCTGCTTTCCTTACAGAGGGTAATTCGAAGATAGAATTAATAATATTTACAAAGCATCTTTTAATTTGCAAGTTGTTTTATTTATCTATTTTATTAACCCTAAGTCATTATTATACATATTTTATGGATGAGGGAAATGGAGGCATCATGAGGTTAAGTCCAAGTTCACAAAGTTAGTTCATCCTCTTCATACCCCACACCTGGCCCAGGTATATCTCCTCCGATATGGCTCTTCATTCTGTCAGCCGTAGCCCACAGTTGATCTTGTCTCTGAGCTTTCTCTTGACATATACACACTCTGTACACAGCTCTTTCTGTTTGCCTGACAGCTCTCCATTGTGATGTGAGAACTCACCTGTATGTGCAGTGTGTTAGGCCCGCACCTCATACAGAGCTTCTGACAAACCCTCACGGGTGGTTCTCCAGTGAAGCCGTTCACAATCCTGGGAAGAACAGAGGAGCGAAAAAGCATCTGTGAATCATCAGTGCTTCCCCCGGGCCATCTGCTGACAAGCCTCAAGCTGCTGGGTTTTCCAGTTTTCTTGGGTTTTCACGAATTTGTGAAAAGGGAAGCTCTGTGGGCTTGAATGGGTGACCCAGGTACACTGTAGGTGATGCTCCTGGGAGACAGGCATGTAGGAAATGGAAGTTTCATAGGCAGATAATCTCCCCCGGACCTTTGGGTTTGAGGAAGAAAAAAGCAGGAAGGAGAACAGAATTTTTACAGCCTTGTATATAAAGATTTTCTTGTAAAAGCCAACATCAAAGGGAGAAAGAATAGTGCTCCTTTCCAAGGAGTCTCATTAATTATCACAGCATCTTTTCAAGGGAAGCACATTGGAAGGAATATTTCTCAAATGAGGAAACTGAGTGTGAAATGGCTTGATTATTGGCAAACCAGAAAAATACAACCCAGGGCATTTCCAGACTCCTCGTCTAAAGGGCTAGCAACCTCCACCAGGCCATTTAGCCACTCATTAAAGAAACATTTATGGAGACCCTGCTTTGTCCCGGGCACCAGGCCAGGAGCCAGGAAATATGGTCCCTGACCTAGAGGATTTCATACACCACCTGATCACCAGTGAAGTTTGCAAATAATCCAAACAGGCAAATAAATATCTGTGACACAATGTGCTAAGTACAATAATAGAATGATGAACAAAGAGCAAAGAGATCACAGGGAGGAGAGTGATTATTTTTGCCTGGGAAGATTAAATAAGACCTTAACTGAAATCTTCAGTCTATCACGAGATTTGAGAGCTGGCATTAGCAAAGTTCTGGATTAATATTTTGAATGAATTTGTTAAAGGCTCCCTCCACAGAACTCTGTTTTCATAATCTTACAGAATTAGTGATCCACAGCAAACCGCCCCTCCCCACCACCAGCATTGGCAATGCATTTTGTAAAGGGTTACCATAATCCCTAATATTTATTCAGTAATCACCATTTAATATGAAAATGTTGATAGCTGAGTTATCTCATTTAATTCTCACAACAAAAAATATGCAGTTGTATGCCCATTTTACAGACGAAACAGTTTAGAGAGCTTAAGCAATTTCCCATGAGTTCACACTGTGTTTTAAGAAGAATATACCCTGCTTGAATTAAGGAGGGTCATTAATTGTTTGGGGCACATGTACATTGAGTTACACAAATTAGCATTCATTTTTGTAGCTCAAAATCAGCATCATTCATTTAATTAAATTACAATAACATTGATTTTTCACAAAAATTTCTTCCTTCTTCTCCCTCAGGGACACCTAAATTGCCCACCTTCCCCCAAACCCTCTAACTAGAAATGTGAGTAAAATAACCACTTTCTTGTCATTTTATGGGTGACATAGTTGAGCTGATGGACCATGGTCCCACGGGTTCAGAATACCTTTCATCTGAGCATTAATGGTGAGTTATACTTAAAGAGGCAGCATTTTTTTAAGCTTCAGCTCAAAATATCCTTGACTGGGTGTGTTAAACCAAAGTACCTAATTAGAGATGACTTAAAGTAATACCTTCGTTTGTCACTTAATATCCTCTAACCACGAAAATCCAGAGGTATTTTACCTATACCACAGAAACCTCACTTCCAAGGACATGATAATCACTCTGCAGACATTTAGCCTCCTGAACTCCGACAATGGAAACTGTTGGACTCATCTCCATTATTCCCACAATGGAAAATTCCTGATTACCTCATTTTTCCTGCAGAGCCACGTAGGTATCCGTTTAAAGGAAAGTAACTTGCCAATGAATTAATTATTCAATACAGCTGTCAATATAGACTCAGTATAAGTGGTCCTTAAATGCTGAACCTTTAGCCTCAAATTGCCTGGTCTGAATCTCATTGCCTCTGCTTAGTAAGAGTGTAACATGTGGGCAAGTTATTTAAACTTGCTAAATCAAACTTGCCTCAATAGTAAAATACAGGTGATAATTGGTAGAGACTGCAAGTTGCCCAGAGACTTGATGGGTTAATAAGTTAAGATTTCAAAGAAGTGTGAATATCTATAAATAAGATAGCAGTGCCAGTGTTCCTTTCTCTCCTTTTTCAACAGTAGAATAATAGTTGAATGCATGACTGCTGAACTGGACTATATTTCCTTCTGTTTCTCCTGCCCACATATGGCCCTGACTAAATTATCTCTGTGGAATATGAATCAAAATTAGATGTGTCAGTTCTAGGTCAGGATGTAGGGATGGTGGAGGAGCACCCTCCTGCTCTCTTTCCTCTTCCTGCTGCTAGAAGTGGTAACAACAGTAACGACAGCAGCAATCATGAGGAACCACCCCACCATCCTAGGTCCCTGGTTGACTCTATGGAACAGAGGCATGTATTTGCTGGATTCATGAGAAAAATATATGTCTAGCCTGTTTGAGTCACTACATTTTGGGGGGCATCTATACAGTAACTAAGATTATGGTCCCATTGCTTCATGGCAAATAGAAGAGGGAAAAGTGGAAGCAGTGACAGATTTTATTTTCTTGGGCTCCAAAATCACTGCAAACGTTGACTGCAGACATAAAATTAAAAAACATTTGCTCCTTGGAGGAAAGCAATGACAAACCTACAGAAAGCAAATTAAAAAGCAGAGACATCACATTGCTGACAAAGCTCTGTAGTCAAAGCTATGGTTTTTGCAGTAGTCCTGTATGGATGTGAGTTGGATCATAAAGAAGGCTGAGTGCCAAAGAATTGATGCTTTCAAACTGTGGTGCTGGAGAAGACTCTTGAGGATGCCTTGGACTGCAAGGAGATCAAACCAGTCAATCTTAAAGGAAATCAACCCTGAAAATTCATTGGAAGGACTGAAGTTGAAGCTCCAAGACTTTGGTCACCTGAAGTGAACAGTCAAACTCATTGGGAAAGACCCCAATGATGGGAAAGATTGAAGGCAACAGGAGAAGGGGGCAGCAGAGGATGGGATGGTTAGATAGCATCACTGACTCAATGGACATGAATTTGAGCAAATTCTGGGAGACAGTGAAGGACAAAGGAGCCTGGTGTGCTGCAGTCGATGGGGTTGCCAAGAGTCAGGCACAACCGAGCGACTGGACAACAACAATACAATAGTGAAGTGAAAGTCGCTCAGTCATGTCCGACTCTTTGCGAACCCATGGACTACACAGTCCATGGAATTCTCCAGGCCAAAATACTGGAGTGGGTAGACGTTCCTTTCTCCAGGGGATCTTCCCAACCCAGGGCTCAAACCCAGGTCTCCCACATTGCAGGAAGATTCCTTATCAGCTAAGCCACCAGGGAAGCCCAAGAATACTAGAGTGGGTAGCCTATCCCTTCTCCAGCAGATCTTTCTGACTCAGGAACTGAACCAGGGTCTCCTGCATTGCAGGTGGATTTTTTTTTTACCAACTAAGCTATCAGGGAAGCTCAACTATACAATAAACAGTATCTAAATCATAAAATAAGTATTGAAAAAGATAATGCATGAGCTCTTAGCTCAGTGCTCAGCACATATCATTACTAAGCATCAGTTTTTCAAGTGAGAAGATTGTGTAGCAGTTAAAACTGGGAGCTTAGTACCCAGTGTCCATTGAAATTTTGACTGTTTTCCAAGACCTGTGTAAACTGAGAGATGTCTTGTAATGGGGAGAAAAAGAAGTGAAGTCTCCTTCCTATTCAGGGTCTGAGAAAACCTGAGGGCAAAGCTGGGAGTTCTCAGCATTATGACCATGAGGCAAGCTCCCTGATGTAGAGAAAGCAAGCTAGTGCAGAGTTCTGAGTCCAGTGACTCAGAAGCCTTCATTTGACCCAGAAACCCTCCAGCCAGATTATGGGAGGCACAGGGTCAAAGAGATAAAAATCTAAAAGCCAAACAGAAGTCTCTAATTAATGCCAACAGCCTGCCCTTTACGGCTTCAGTTTGGTCACTAGTTGACAGTCAAATTAACTATAGTTCATTTCCTAGTACAGTCAACTTACAATTAGGTATAAGAATGAAGGGAAGTAATGGCACTCACGATTTAAATAATAAGCACTACAAAAATAATTTTATTTGGCTTTGGAATTCTGTGCATGTAACATTTACCATTTTATTATCTAGAAGCAGTTGCTGTCTCCCTCAAGAACTGGGAAAAATTGGTCCACATCTCTTTTTTGTTGTTAATTTTCTATTCCTGTGACTAACTTCACACAGAACTAAAATAAAATCATTTGCTTCTTTACTAGTGTAATTATGTAAAATTATTTCTGGACTGTACTTTATTTAAAGCCATTCAAGCGTCTTTTCAATCTTGAAGAATGCATCAGGTCTCTGGGAAATGTTAAATGCATCCATTACAGCACAGTAATAAGCTCTGCAGTTACTATGGCTAAAAGAGTGTCCAGGATGCAATGTTGTGTACCCACTCCTCTCTACCCTTTCCCTTCTGTATACATGCCCTGTTATTAAAGGAGCATCCATCTCAAGATGTGAAGTTCTTTACTGAACCATTTTCAGTTTGGTTGTTTTATTTTTAGGAGCTTCATTTTAGTGGGGTGCCTCAGGAAGAAGAGTATTTAAGGGCCGCAGGCGACTATTTGTTTCCTAACCTCTTGACCCAAGTTGAGTGTCTGGTTTTCTCCAGGCACGTTCTATTATCAACACTGGGCTGTGCCAGGACCACAGTCCAAAGGGGTTAATTAACACAGGGAGGAAAAAAATAACCTGCACTCCATGGCTGCTGATAAGAGAGCAGCCATTATCACCTCCTAAATCGTTTCTAGAAACTCAAAGAAAGTTGGGTGAGTAAACTTATTTAATACATTCCCTTACATATAAATGTCTCCCTAAACCCTCATACTCTGCTAGTGGTAAAAACAATTTGACAATATTTAATAAAGATGAAAATGTATGCCCTGAAGGAGCTAGCAGTTCCACTTCTAGATATACGCCATAGACAGGCACTCACATACAAGAACACACGCAAATGTACCTTCGTTCTGGAATTGTTTCAGAAAGGAAAACTGGAAAGAGCCTAAATGCCTACCAATAAGAGAATGAATGAAAGTCTATACCATGGTAAAAATTTATCCATTTGAATTTATTAAAATGTATAAGTATGAATAAATATAAAAACACAATGTTAAATGAAAAAAGTCAGTGATGGACTTTTCAGTACACCATTTACATTGGTATAAAATAAGACTAAATGTTGGTTATGGGCATATATAGCTATTGCTTCAGCTATATCAAATTTAAAAACATATCTGGTAATAATTAAGTGGTGCTAGTGGTAAAGAACCTGCCAGCCAATGCAGAAAATGCAGGAGATGAGGATTTGATCCCTGGGTCAGAAAGATCTCCTGGAGGAGGGCATGGCAACCCACTACAGTAATCTTGTCTGGAGAATCCCATGGACAGAGGAACCTGATGGGTTACAGTCCATAGGGTCACAAAGAGTCAGACGGGACTAAAGCGACTTAACATTCATGCAATGTTAATAATTAAAGTTCAAATTCAGGACAGTGGTTATCTCGAGCAGAGATGAGAAGGCAGGAAGAATGGACTCAAGGAAGGTAGCAAGTAACTCAACCAAATGTCTAACGTTTCATTTAAAAGATCTGAATAACTATGGAAAAATATTAAAATTTTTCAAAATTCTATGGTATATCCATGAGTGTTCATTATACTGTTTTCTAGATTTTGCTTATGCCTGAAATATAGGACTTTCCTAAGTGGTCTCTTGATGGCTGAATATAACTGGATGTCACTGTATCACTGATGTTTGCAACAAAAAATTTTATCACTGCTTTTCCAAACAGCAATAACTAAGAATGAGCCAGCATGTGGTGGAAGGAAGGTCCCAAACCATTCTCAACTGCCATGGAAGTATAAGAAATAGGTAATAATATGAATTATATGAATGTATGCTTAGTCACTCAGTCGTGTCTGACTCTTTGTGACCCCATGGACTACAGCCCACCAGGCTCCTCTGTCCATGGGATTTTCCAGGCAAGAATACTGTAGTGGCTTGCCATTTCTTCCTCCAGGGGACCTTCTCCATCCAGGGATTGAACCTGGGCCTCCCAGTAGATTCTTCACCACTGTGCCACTTGGGAAGCCCAGCGTATTATAGATCAAGCATTTATACCCAGGCTAGATTGAATGTTTAACATGCACTCTCCCTTGTATTCCTTGCAACAATTCCAGAGAAAAGACACTATCACTATCTCCTTACTATAGATGAGGAAACTGAATTGTAGAGAGTAATCTGGTCAAGATCCCATGTTGAGCAGAGAAGCCAAGAGTCAAACCAAGCCCTGCTGGACTCTCTCCACCACTCTATACTACCTCCTCATGAATGGTGTCCACTGTCTTTACAAATAGTTACTTTCCAGAATTGGGGGGTTCAAAAGTTCATTGGGGCTCCTAATATAGAAGGTGTGGGAATCACTGTGTAGTGACCGTCTGCACTGTGTGCGGCTCTGCACAGAACCATCCCCGGATACATACCTGCCAAGGCCAGCTGTCACTGCTTGCTCTGGACCACACCTCGGTGAACTTGAAAGCTGTCCTGTCAATAAGACCTTGACTCAGGAGGCAGGCCGGCCAAGGCCTCTCCTCGTGACCACTCTGGAGGCAGAAATGTTCATTCACAGTTTAGATCTATTCAGCATCTAGCCTGAAACAGAGATATTGTAAATCCCATCAAAATCTCCTCCATTATGTGCCACACTTTGTTAGAACAGAATAAGGGGTTTGGCTCTGTTGGACCAGATCAAGTTAGTCTATGTCAAGTATCACATTTTAGATTCAAATCCCTGTTAAACCCTCTGCTTAGGCTCGTGGTTAACAATATTTTTATATCTGTCTGCGGAGATGACAGGCAGCCCCGCTCTCGAGTGGGCCCGGCGGCCTCCGCACGGCTGCTTTTAGAGGCAGGCTCCATAGATGAAAGGCAGAAATCCCACCACCCCAGTGTCTCCTGATTAGCCTGGAGAAAAGCTGAATGACAAACATGTTTCCAATCTGCCTGGCCCATGCAGGGAAATGGGGCAATCTGGCCTGAAAAGGGATTTAAACTTTTGTTGTGTGCAAGGGAGGAGGGATAGAGAAAAAAGCTGATTTAAATCCATCCACAATGCTTTCCCACTTGGTGATCTCTCAGATAAGAAACAGGCTGGCTGTGGTTCAGACCCGTATCATGCCCAAGCATCTTCCCCCTGCCCGCCTCACTCGCCGTTAGGTAGCTGTGGACCTCTCAGATAGAGTTGTGTAAGGCAGAGATTATTGCAACTAGTTGTCTCAGGCCACTTGCTCTTTTGGCCAGAATCTTATGATGTGTTTGTTGATTAATAAAATTGGCCTACAGTAAAATTCTCTGTAGGACTTCTGGATTAAAACAAGCATCAGTAACAGTGTATGCATTACCCACTTAGCTGTTCACTTACACTCATCATATTACATTACGTTAATTGCAAAGTCATATAAAATGTGATGTCCAATGTTCACAAGGCTCACGTCGCAAAGGCTAAGGGTTAAATATGTGATTGATTTACTAGAGACACTGCATTAAGACAAAATATTTTCATTTTTCTCTTCCCAGTAGAGAGAAGAACCCCCAGATATCGAAAATATACAGTTGATGCAGAGCTTCTTTTAACTATGTAAGTCAACACATCATTGTCACCTTCTATTACATAATGTTTATTACATACTGTATGCTCAGGTGGCCAGAGTTTGGATGCTAAATATTTCTGAAAAGTCCACAAGAAGGTAAGATAGAAATACATCTTCTAAAAGTAGAAGTTCTGGTTTCAAACACATCGTTTTTTTACTTTTTCAATGCATTGTTAGTATTATGCTGATGGGATGAAGGGTCAGGCTTGGGGAATCTTCCCCCTCAAGAGTCCCTTTCCTGGGTGTGGACAGGAGAGGAGCACCTATAAGATAGCTGCTGTTGTGCCTCGTGGCCGCCAGGCTGAGTCCAGGGCATCTTGCTCTGTTAGTATCAGTACAGTGCTTCTTCAAACACAATTATCAGAGAGTCTTCAGTGACCTCTTGTTGCTGCCGTATTTGGGAAACCGCATTCAGATGCAGATTGACCTAAATCCTGTCAACCCGTTCAAACCATGTGTGTGAGTGAGCATGTGTGCACGCGCACACTTGTGAACAAACATCACACACGTATCTGTACTTATATAAATTCTCCCTAGGGCGTTTAACCCCCCCACCCCCACTCCCCAAATTTTCAAATGAGGAGAAATGCTTATTTTCCCAGGCAACTTTGTCAATTGCTCTTGTGCTCTTCTTATAAATATTTCATAGCAAATATTTAACATGATTCTTTCCCCAATCGGATCAGCTTTGAAATGCTCCTCAAAGTGAATTCTCCCCTAACAATAGCTTGATGCAAAAGCTTTTCTCTCTCTCTCTCTCTCTCTCTCTCTTAAGCACGGGTCTGCTGCCATAGCAGCGGGAATAGTTCTTCTTTAATGGAAAGAAAAGACTCTTTACATCAGTAGTCGGTGAAGGTGGGGGCGACTGCAGGCATAGCACATGCGTACCTTGCCCTTCCAATACGGAGGCCCAGCCTACCTTGACCTCCCCTCCCCCGACAGCAGGCCTGCGATTATTGCCCAGCCTACATTAGAACTGTAATGGAAAGTGACAGGTTTATGTAAATGATCCACATACGGATTTTGCTCTTGTAAAACAGAGCAGTTACTTTGGGCTTTCTAATTATTTCATGCCTTGTGGTTCTCTGATGCGGCTGAGATGACTATACTTGAAAACTACCCTGTGATTGACAGACTTCTGTCCCCCTGGAGCTCATTAGGGCTCCGGCTTTGGAAGACGGGAAATAACCCTACCAGGCGCCAAAAGAGAGAGAAAGAATGCACCCCAGCACCAGAGATTCAGTAGATTCATTTGTTCAGATTTATGTTTTGTTGGGGAAACAGTGTTATCAGGGAAGTGCACTCTTGCCTTCCTGATCCAAACAGACTCTCTGCTTTGGTGCTTTTGATTTTTAAAACCAGCATTTAGAGTCACACAGGCTGTATGATGTAGAACTTGAAGGGAATGAAATGCCAATAGGATTTTTCACAAGAAAGTGGGAAGGGGAGGCAGGTGAGAAGAGCAGGAGGCCACAAAACACGGTTACAGACTTGAAGCAGCTCTAACCGCTGCGCTCACTCCGCAGTCAGCAGGACCTCTGCCCAAGTCAACTCAGCAGAGAAATCAATGAAAGGGCCAGATAAAGTGGAAAAAATGATTTGGAAATCCTGACCTTCCCTTCAGTTTACATACACTCTGGTGAGAAGAAGAAGGTGCTAGGATGCAGGCAAGATTGTGAAAAGAAAAAAAAAAATTCATAAAGCTGGAAAGACTTTAAGGTTCATTTACCTTAATCTTCCCATTTTATGGATCAGAAAATTAAGAGCCAGAGGAGTAGCTAGCAGGATGGCCAGAATTCGTCCACAGTTTTCTATCCAATATCCATCTCCTCTTCGGCAGAGCCAGGAAGAGATAGGATGAGGGGAGAGCAGGTGACATGAAGTCTGTTGGTGGATGAGATTCCAAGATAAGGAAGCCAAGATCTGTTGGTTCATATATCAGATTTTTATCCACTATACCGAGATGTGTAAAAATCAGACCATTCTTTATGTTTCTATAACTGATCTTGTTTTCAAGACACATACCACTGGGTAGTAAGGAAAACAAACACTTAAATGTCCTAATTAAAGTAAGTTCAATATCTCTAAGTTTTAAAAAGGAATTCATTCTAGTTTTTTTTTTTTTTTTTTTGGATAAACATTTAGTCAAGTTCAATGTCCAAACTTCCTACCAGAGCCATTTGTCTTCTTTTAAAAGTTTCCCAACCCCCAGTGTACTTCCCTAAGAAAGCACCTGGGTGTGTTGTGTGTCTTTGCAGTGACTAGAGGAGCTGACTGGTGTCGGTTCAGGTGTGTCTGCTGTTCTCTGGTCTCTGATGCCTCTTTAGCTGTGTCCACTGTTGAGTAAATGCCATGCAGATATGCCACCAGCCTGCTTTCCCCTCATCACCATGAACGCAAGTCAGTTTCCCTTGGCTCCAAGAAGCCATCTTGTGACCTAAAAGGGAGAGGCAGAATATTTCTTCAAAGTGAGGTTATTATATTAAACAGTAAAATATAAAGATACTCTTTGATATTTGGCAAATTTTAGCACACCACATGGCTTCATATCACCTTCCCCTGCTTCCATCATTGACAGTGAAGGGTTCATGAGGAAGCCTGAATTATCTATGCAGAATAAAACAGTTACCATTAATTACACATCTGACCCAAACAGTATAAATTTAGACCCCTGCTGTATACAAGCATATTTTGTTTTATTGTACTTAGATTTACTGCACTTTGCAAAGATCTCGGGGTTTTTTTTTTTTTTTTTTCATGAATTGCAGGTTTGTGAAAATCTTGTGTTGTCAGATGATAGTTTACACTTTTAACAGTAAAGCATTCTTTAATTAAGGCATGTACATTTTTTTAGACAATGCTATTGCACACTTAGTGGACGACAGTATAGTGAAAATGTAACTTTTTTTAGGCACCTGGAAACCAAAATTTGGTGTGACTCGCTTTATTGCGATATTTGCTTTATTTCAGTGGTCTGGAACCCAACCTGCAGCATCTTTGAGATGTGCCTGTGTAAGCAACACAGAGCCAGGAAGGAAGGTGCAAACCATGAACTGGAAGTGAGGCAGCAAGTCAGGGGCCAGAGGGTCAAGTAGACCAGGTCAACGTAGATAAACGGGTGCTTGGAAAGGAAAAGGCCAGCCTCCAACAGAAGCATGCTGCAAGACTTCCAAGGTGAAGAACAGAGAAAGGCGGAAAGCTGCCCAACTCATTTTAGGAACTAATAAAACCTTGAGTCTGAAACCAGTATGGGTAGCACAGGAAAAATGTACAGACCTATTTAACCTATGAACACATAGGGGAAATCCTATATAAATTATTTTCTAATCTAAAGTGAATCTAATCATGTGTTAAAAAAAACAACCCTAGTACAGTTTATCCCAGGAATGCAAGAATGGTTTAATATCAGAAAACTTATCTTAAAAGAAAAAGGAAGAAAAGAAAATCTATGAATACAAAAGGTATTTCATGAAATTTAGCATTTAGTTATGCTCAAATAATAATAGTTTCAGTAGCCAGGAAGAGAAAGGAACTCTTTTAATCCAATAGACTTTATACCAAAAAACTAAGATCAACATGATAGTGGATGAAGAAACCTCATAAGCTGTCAGTTCCTTTAAGGTCTTGAACAAAAGAAAGTTATTATGATCTCTGATTCTATTTAACCTGTTATTGGATGGCTTCAATAATAAAAATTTCTAAATAGAAGACAAGAAGAGAAAAGACTGTAAGATGTGGTGGTTTAAATATGTCCATAAATTCTAATAGTATCTTCTAAAAGTGGAACCTAATTTCTCTCTCCTTGAGTTTGGGCTGGACTTAGTGAATTGCTTCTAACAAATAAAATAAAATGAAGTAATGCTGTGTGATTTCTGATACCAGATCAGATTCCTGGATTACTGACCTCAGAAATTGTATGATACTAGATATCTGTTGTCTTTAACTGCTATGTTTGGGACAATTTGTTTGCAGCAATTGATGACTGATACAAACAAGCACTGGAATAAAATATATTAAATCATCCTTCATTGCTGACAACAGAATCATCTATGTAGAAAATCCAACGGCACAAAGAAAGTATTAAAATTAGGGAGAGTTTAGCAAACTTGCCTTAACACAAAATCATATGGATTAACACAAAAATCCATAGCATTCTATTCCAGCAACACCCAAATAAAGTATCATTCACAATAGTGGCAAAAATGTAGTGCATCTGGGGGTCAACTTTACAGTGAATGTACAAGACATTGTTATGGAGAAATATTAACATTCTACTAAAAGACATAAGAAGATTGAATAAATGGAAATATATACTACATTTGTGGCTGCTGACTTAATAGTAAAAATATTTCAAATCTTCCTCAATTAATGTGTAATTTCAATGCAAAGACAATAAAAATTCCAGGCAGATTACCCACCTGCCTGGATGGCTCACCATGACCCATCACTATCCTCTGAACATGAACACGCTCTTCCCTGTCACTAGAATTCCTCAGGCTGCCTTCGGCTGGGTCTATATCCAGGGCCTATCTGACCGCAGTGGCGACGCTGCTTCCCTCATCCCACCTCAGAGCTGTGTGCTCTGGGTCTGCCTGTTCACTGAGCTCCAAGTTTCTGTTGTACTATGATAAGAGAGGGCAAGAGAAGCAGAAGGAGGAGAATGAGGAGGAGGAAGGAGGCCGCGACAACAATGACATTTGGATCCTGTGAAGGTAGGATCCCTCTGAACACAGTTGCATTAAGAAACTTATGAAACTTTCACTATGAGATCAGAAGATGGGAGCCTGATTATCAATTCATCTGAATAAGCCCATGGGGCATATGTATTTGCAATTAATGAAAACTACTGGAAGGGAGAACTTTTACACAAAGTTTACAAAATATATCAGAAGAAAAGATGCCCAGACTGTGGTAATTCTAGTTCGCAGACCAGTGCAAACAACATTTTTACTGTCTTCATGAATGAAATAGTAGGTTACAAATTTATATGCTCATTTAGATTTGGTATGAAGAAAGAAAGAGAGAGATAAATATGAAATAGGGCTCTATCAATAAAGAACATAGGATCACCAAACCAGAAGTTCTTTTCATTCATTGGCCAAGAAAAGCTATAGTTGATGAGGAATGCAGTCAAGAAAAGACATCCTGTAGCTATGTGCTAAGAACCATCTGATTGCACTGAATAGTCAAGTGACTCAGCAGTGCACTGAATAGTCAAGTGACTCATCAGTGCAGGATTTGACTCGATGCAAAGGCAACTATTGACCCCTTACCTAGTGTCTGCACTCCTTCTAATGTATTCACACCCCTCTTCTGACTTAGTCCTGTTCATGCTTCAGCTCTGATGTCATCAACTGTGGAATGCTTTCCTTTATACCTCTTCCTTCCACCTCAATTTCCACTAACTGCCCCCTCAGTTCACACTGTGTTGCCCCCTTCATAGATCCATCACTGTAATAGGATTGGTTTATTCACTTTTTTCCCCACTAGATTTTGAGCTCTTTAAAGGCAGGGACTGTGTCTTTAATTTCTGTCTCCCAAAGACCCAACCTTAAAGTTAGTAGGCTCTCAATAATATTCACTCAGTGAATGAATGAGTGAATGAACGCCACTGGAATTCATGGGAATTAGATATGATCTCTAAAAAGATAAAGGGCAAGTGTAGGCATGAGAGAATAGTGTCACTAAGGCAGATGTGAAAGGCAAGCAAAAAGAGAAGATACAGCAAAGTGCCCAAAGGCACGGAGGGAAGTCATCGGCGACTGAAAGAGAAGAAGGAGGTGGTGTGCGGGAATTTTACACAACAGAGAAAGATAACAGAGATATATTTCAGGCTGTGACAGAAGGAAAAGCAACGGAAAATGTTTCTGAAACCTGGAAATAAACAAGAGAAAGTGTAGTGAAAAGATAGGAGGAAGAACATAGGTGTTGAGAAGTGAAGACAGGGTGGGCAAATTTCAGAAGATGTAACCGTATTTGAAGTTCCTCCAGAGGAAGGTGAAGGAGGACAAAATTAGGGAAACTAACAAATGGAAAGGACATAGAGAAGTGAGACAGGGAATGCCCTTCCAAGAAGCCGTTTAAAGACCAGGCATGCCAAATGGAAGAGTGAGGTAAGAACTGTTAACATTTCCTCAGGCCACTGCGCTAATTTATGTCTTACTTCATTTTTTCTTCGTAGCAGCTGGCAGTATTTTACAGAGGAGGAAACAATGACCCAGAAAAGTAAAGTTTCAGGTTTAAATGCACACAGTAAGCAATGGAAATGGGACATTGAGCCAGCTCTTTTGGCCTCTGAAGCTTAGAACCTGAGACCAAAAGGAGGCAGACAAAGAAACCACGGGAGGAGAGGAGGAACAGAGGACTTCTGGAGGAGGCTCAAGGGGACCAACACAGTCATCAAATCGGTAACGCACAACACAAGTGCGCTTGCACAGTGCAGACAGAACCGCGAATTCAGCCTGCGGTCCATGTTTTGAGGGAGTGGCTTAAGGATAAAAAAACAAGGAGTGCTTTCTTTTATGTGTTAGAGTCTGAGAATTTCTCTCTAGGAAGAGACACAAATTTGCAACTTAGACAAGGCAGTATAAGCTAAAAATAAACTCCTGCATCTCTACAGGAGGCCCCAGTAGGCAGCTCTCTGCTTGTAAAGTGAGGGAGGAATTCAACTCTGGGAGATTGGGGGGTTGGGGGGGATGCATGAAGGAGGAAGGGAAATGAGTAGGCAAGGAGGTGGCTCTAGAAGAAGGCTGGGGCAAAAAAAGGTCCACCAGCCAAGAGAGCAGCCTGAGATGAAATGGAGAGCTGAAACATCTACTTGGGATTTATGAAGTGTAGCTGTAGGGCTGAGTTAGAATTAGGGTTAGAGACCCCTATGCAGTCTTCAGCCAAGGCAATGAAAAAGAAATTTTAGCATTCTGAATATGGTTGGATTTCTTCTATAAAATGTTGAAGGGAGCCAGGTCAGAATATGATTTTATGTGGAGTCAAGACAGCCTGTTGGACAAGAGTGCTAAATCTGAATTGCATGCATAGTAATACTTTTCAAACAAATCCATGAGGTATCGCATATCAAAGCCTGAAAAACTAAAAGTCATACCTATATGCCAGCAAACTGTACTGCGTGGACTTCATCACATGGAAATAATAGATGATATGCATAAAGATTTTGCCTGCCATTATTTCATCAGAGAAAGAATGTGAGGAAAATGAACAGCCCAGCAATAAGTGACTGGTTAAATAAATGACGATGAATACTTAGAGTTGAGTACTACCCACTCACCCAAAAATTTCATTGTAGAGTCATTCATTCATCTGGCAAATACTTATTGAGTGCCTTCAATGTGGTCAGCACTGTTCTAGACACTGATGACTCAACTGAGAACAAATAATATCTCTGCCCTCCTGGAATTTAGATTATGGTGGAGAGAGAA